TTTGTCAACTAAAGAAGAGGTGTTAGACCTTGGTGTCTTATTCGACAGCAAATTTAAATTTTCTGGTCACTTAGACTATATTTTACCTAAAGCGTATGCTATGCTGGGCTTTGTTAAGAGGCACGTGAACCAGTTCAAAAGTCCATACTCGAGCCTCAGCGTCTATGCTGCATTCATTCGGTCGAGGCTAGAATATGCCTCAATCATTTGGAACCCGGATTGCAAAGTTCGTTCCAACAGAATTGAGCGACTCCAGAAATAATTTTTTAAATTTGCACTTCTGCCTCTAAGGTTTCAGGATCCTGTTCCTTCATACCAGAGCCGTTGCCTTCTTCTAAATGTTTGCACGTTGGAGGATCGGCGTAAACTGGCAGCGTTAACTTTTTTGAATAATTTAATCGTCGATAACATTGATTGTCCTTTTTTATTGGGACTCATTAACTTTAATGTTCCTCAAAGGGATCTTCTTACCTTTTCCCCCTTTTGGGTCAAGTGTCATAGGGCCAATTATCTCTTAAATGAGCCGATTGAGCGGGCCCTTTCTTATTTTAATTCTTTGCCGCCTAGCCTCCGAATTGAGTGGGGCTCTGATAAGGGTGTGTTAAAACGCAAATTAATCAGGCATTTAATTTATTAGTTGTAAGTTGTTATTATGTAGCCATGTAAGGATTTGTCCGTTGGCGAAATAAATAAATAAAATTGGTAACCAAAGGGGTCGGAAGGATCTAGTTAATCTATTAGGAACAGAAAACACAAATTTTTAAAGCGCTCTTTTAATGGAGGTAGGTTTAATAGTTTTATCCGGCAACGATACGACGGAAGGCAAGTGACAGTATCCCAGATTAAACCTTTTAATGCAAAGAATAAACACTGCTTTTGGGCAGATTCAATCCTTCTTTTATGAACCAAGTATTGTGGACTCCAAACGCACGAACAGCATTCCAAGATAGGACGAACCAAAGATACATATAGAGTTTTAGTTGTGAAAGGATCATCAAATTCTTTTGACCAACGTTTGATAAAAGCAAGCACACCCCTGGCTTTATTGACTGTAAATGATATATGTTCATTGAAAAAAAACGTATTGTCAAAAAGATCATTAATAAGGGAAACACGAACTAAGACGTTATTCCCAAGTGAATACGAGAAAATGTCAGGCACACTGCGATGGAACGGAATAACCTTACACTTTGAGCAGTTAAGTAAAAGGAGATTGTTTGAACACCACAAGAAGACTTCGTTGAGGTCTAATTGCAGGTGTCTATGAAGAAAATGGTCTGAAAAAGAAAAACATAACCTCATAAGATACAGCTTATGAAGGAGGAGATGATGGTTCACAGAATCGAACGCTTTGCTAAAATGCGTGTATACCACATCAGTTTGCATAGTTTCTTATGAAGCGGAATAATAACTGATTTATTCCATTGCTTGGGAAGACATGCAAGCTCCAAGGACAAATTGAATGAGATAGTAAGAGGATAGCAAAGGATATCTGAGCAATGCCTTAGAGAACAGCTAGGGACATTATCAGGACCAGCAGAGAATAAGATATCGATTGTTGAAACAGCTTTAAACACTTCCTGAAATCGAAATTTTGACAAATAAATGTTATTTATGTGTGGTAATTTAAAGGGATAATAAAAATTGAGGTGAAATATTTTTATATGATAGGGAAGGAGGAAAAAGATTTGATTTACGTTTCGTATTAACAAAAGAATGGAAGGAGCTCGGATCATTACAAAAGTTTAGCTTACAATTCATAATTTACAGCTTATACAGTTAACTGTTGAGAATGATAAACTGGTTACGAATACAAACATAGATTGACTGATGAAACAAGGATCCTGACTTAAGAAAGTTTTTTAAGCTTTATATTTCCCGTTCCTAAGGCGAGAAAGGAGTTTATTAAACCAAGGTGGTTTTGTAGACAATGATGATGGAACATCAGGAACAAACTTATTCAACGCACCGTGAATTATTTCGTTGCATTGTGTTTATAGATGACAAAAATTCGAATCAATTTCAGCCAAATGATTGCGAAGGGCGATAAAATCTGTCTTTCTAAAGCTGAAACGAGATTGAACATTAAAACCATCATCATTATGAGGCACATAAATTAACACCGATGCTAATATTGTAGGATGGTGAAAGTCTTCAAGAAGCGATAGCGGTGAGGACCGAATGACTGTCACAGAGGATGGCGCATTGGAAAATATAAGGTCCAGAACACTGTCATGAATGTTATGAATTGGGTTAAGTTGGAATAGGGCAAACTCAGTCAAGCCATCGATAAAGTTTTTATGACAACTGGAAAGCAGGGAATGGTCCTCCTCAGACAGGATCTAGGAAATGAGGGGAAGGTTGAAATTTCCCATGATTAGGATTAAATCAGAGTCCTTGGCCAATGAAATAGTCCAATGGCCTCTAGGTGGTGAAAATATACAATATCTTCAACCATGGGAGGAATTTAGGTACAGGTCTGGAAAATATGAGACGAGCCAGTTAAAATTTTCACCGCAATGAACTCTATTCCGAACTCATCCGAGAAAGGGATAAGTTCAGCAGGGTATTTATTATTAACAGCAATGAGGACACCACCTACAAAAGATGGACGATCCAATCGAAACACAGTGAACTTAGGAACAAAAATTTCATAATCAGAGACAGAGGAATTAAGACAAGTTTCAGTAAGCGCGATAGCATCAAAATCAAAAGACGCACTCTTTGTAAAAAATTGGCTCAATTTACCCAGAATACTTCGAACGTTTTGATAGCACCAGGAAAATACTTGGGTATTCAGTTTTTTGAAGCAGTTTCTGCATTCTGAGTGTCAGGCCAGGCTACATGACCAAGTGCTTTTTCGAGGTAGGAATCCAAAAGGACTGTTTTAAAAGAATATATAGAACGCTTATTAAAGTTAAACTTATAAACAGCTACCAACATTAGGAGCTACCTTAAGATGGTTTAACAGGTGACTTCTGACAACATCAACAGTAGCATCCGATTGAGGCGAGACACAAATATGGCCTTACCGCCCTCAGCGTAAGTCCAGAAGATGTAACCTCAGGCGCCACACCAGTCATAGGCCTTGAAGACAGCACAGCAGGAGCAGAATGTAGGTTGTCCAACGATGATAGGAGGCATAAGGTTTGTACTCCCTGCTGGAAGGCTCACAATGTCCCTTGGTACTGGAACTTTTTCAGAAGGTAGACAAGTAGGCGACGGTAAAATGTTTGGTATTGAAAATGCATTGACTCATGATACATTATAATTGTATCATGCATTGACTTGTACAGCATGGGATGTAGGGGTACCCAACAAATTGGCAGTCGGCAGATTGGTGTTCGGAATTTTTCTTCTTGGAGATTCGCTTAACAAATTTAGACCAAGGAATTGGGTTTCAAGTGCAAGGAATTGCTCATTTAGGGCCGAGAATTGCGTGCAACAAAGGCTAGGCGTCATGAATATCCCCTTAAAAAATGAACGGCATCACTTTCATAGGCCCTTTCTTTTTCACCCTCTATGTCATCTACCGCTTCACTAGTAACCTGATTATAATAATCCTCGGTTTGGCCACCCTTATCTTTTTCAAACAGTTGATTAACTCATTAACGCCTAAAGTCTGATAATCTTTGAGAGTTCATCGGACTCTTGTGTGTAATCTGTTGCTGTGCATCGAGTGCCTGCAGTTCGGAAAAACCCTGAGAGCGCTGGAAGTTTGTTGATTGATGGAATTTAGACGATGTTGGATCTATATCCATCTTCTCTAACGGACTACTATCAACAGCGGTTCTTTGACCTTGATCCCTGGAAAAACATGGATTTTCCAATCCCTTTTATACCCTTGGTATTATAATATTGGTCAAAAGTGTGCAATGCAGTGAAGGAGACATATCCAACCATATAAAGTATATATATTCTTGATCAGGATCACATCCTGAGTTGATATCTACATCCTGAGACCATGCCCGTCTGTCTGTTTTTACGCAAACTAGTCTCTCAACTCTTCTTTACTTTGCACGCAGTATATAAGTCGGAACGACCGGGATCGGCCGACTATATCCTATACCTGCCATATAACTGGTTGCTCGGAAATGCTGTAACTTTTTTTTTTGAGTTAGAGAGTTCAAATTTTACATGAAAGCTATTTTTGGCAAAATAATACGATATGCCAAATTTCATAAGGATCGGCCGACTATATCCTATAGCTGCCATATAACTGAACGATCAAAAATGACCAAACTTTCGTGTTTTTGAAAATAGAAAGCTGGAACTTGCTTAGCTGAACAACCAAATCCTCAGACTCTGAGTCGCTCATACAATCGCTATCAAGTCTCAAAAATATTGAACCTTCGCCAAGCTAAGCGCTAATCTTGGCGCTAATCTATTTACCGTACTATTTGACGTGAAATGGATTTTACTGATTACCGCGACACACAAAGAAATACATTACTCTAACTTCTTGACTTTAATGCCGACACTGTTTTCAAAAATAAATGTTTTGTAAGCAATAACAAAATTTAAATATAATCTTTTCTTTAAATTTTTTCTGGCAATTCATAAAAAAAGGCTTCATTTACATGGATCTCTGGAAGTTTTCCTTCTTCTCTTTGGAAGTCTTCTCCAAGCCACGTTTGAGCGCCAGAGACCAGAAGGTGGCCACGATCAGTGACGATGACTCCGCTGTACCCCTTCTAGTAAGCTGGTAGCCGAGTCGTGGCTCCAGCTATCACTATTGCGGTAATTGGCAAAGAAATACGGTGCCTTTAGTAGGGGTGCCTTCATTCATTCACTGTTGGCTCCGAACTGACTAACCTAAGAGAGGAAGAGCTTAATCGTAACCCTAACTCAATCGCGCACAGATCAAGACCGACGACCGGCACCTCTTGCAAGACATCATGTGCCGTTCGTCTTCGTGCTCTTGGCTCCGATCACCGTTTCATTGTTAACTTGTATATCCCACAATTCTAATCGACTTGAATTTTTTAATAAAACGATTCTTGAACTGTCTCTCGACTTAAATAAGGTTTATTATTCGATAAATTTATAAAATGCGTTTGATAGCTAAAATTTAAAATTATCATTTTTAAACTCTTTTGCCGTCATACAGCTCATCGTTCTTAAAAAAAATAAAGATGGTATTTACTCATAAGAAAAGAAAATATATTCTCGATTGCAAGAAAAAGTCTTACACAGTATTTTTATGAAAAATAGCCGCCGATTTCTACCACTTATGTATATACTAATAAACTACTCTTAATGTTTAGTTTACATTTAACTATATTTATACTTTAAAATCAGTTTTTATTAATTTTTAATAATTATGTACGTAGTAATATGAAATGAATGCTATTAACATTGAAGAATTTAAGCTTAATATATAAATTAATCAGGACTGGGTTTAAAATACGTTTATGTGAATTTAGTTACCCTTCTTTATTTTCCTTCAACTCCAGTCTATAAAAATTAATCAAATAAAATATTTTGGAAAATTTAATATTTTTCTATATTATAATAAATATATAGTTTATTTTTTTATGGACTACTTTTAAATATGGTTTTATTTACACGTGTGCTCTTCGAGTACCTTTGTACAAACTTCACATTTAACATGGCAACACCAATGGAATTTGCAATTACAGCGTTCCTTAACTATAATATTTTTTGTATTATAGCCTCGACCACAGCAAAGAATAGCACAGCTTTCCAATCCCGATGAGTTTTTTCGACAAACACGGCCATGTGTACCTTTTGAAATTATGAAATAAATTTAAAAATGAATATGCGGCGAATAAGTGTAATTATTTACCTGGCCATTGCAACATGTAACTAGTTCGACACCAGTCTGGACTTTCATCTAAATAAATCAGATCATGAGCTGTTGGTATTTTATACCGAGAATCTTTAACCTGGAGTCGTCCACGCTTATTCAATTTGACTTTTGTAGCTTCTTCATATTTTACACGTAAATAATCACCTAAAACAAACAACATTAATATAAACCGGTAACATTATACGCCGAAGAAGTATTTTATAAAATGATTTAATCCAGGTGTGTGAACCAAGAGAGGAACAAAAAATTAAGAGTGTATTGGTGTGAAAGAATCGAACTGCTGGACTGACCGAATCGTAGAGTTCGCTGCGTGTGAAATTCTTTAGGGCTTTAATAAGTTTTATAAGTTGCGAAGCGCAAGAACATGTACTTTCAGTCAACTGACACTTTCATTTTTCTCGCTCACCTTAGAAATAAAATGAAATTAAAATTTTGGTTCGAAAATTTTCGAGTAATATTTGTGTAAAAAATTTAGGCCTTACCAGATTAATATAAAATAGTATAATTAGCTATATTAAAGTGTACTAATTTTGATCCAAGGTGTGCAACACATTGAAGAAGACATCTCCAACCCTATTTAGTATATATATTCTTGACCAGAATTACCTCCTGAGTCAATATAAGTATGTGTCCGTCTGTCTGTCTGTTTCTTAACGAACTAGTCTCTCAGTTTTAAAGCTGTCTACTTAAAACTTTGAACACACCCTTCCTATCTTTGCACGCACTACATATGTCAGAACTGATCAATCGGAAGTGCCATAACTTTTATGTTTTTTTCAGTTTAAGAGTTGATTTTATTGTTGATAACTAGGCAAAATGATACGACATACCGAATTTTAAAAGGATCGGGCGACCGAATCCTATAGCTGTCATATAAGTGAAAGATCGGATATGTCCCAACTATCGTGCTTGTGAATACAGCATATTTTAACTTTCTACAGATTGAGTCTGAAGATTTCTACAGCCAATTTCTTGATTTCCACAGCGTTTCTTGAGTCCATTATTCTTCCGCTGAAGTAGAATAACTATCTATACTATCTTTCTACTATAATTAATAACATTCAAACTATCCGACAAGTTCAATTCTCATATGCTTTCCTGGGCAGCATCCAGCATGGGCAGCTTGAGCCAAATTTTAAGATTGCGTTTGTGCTGTTGCAAAAGGATGACCTCCTTACCCTGAAAGTTGATCCAGGCGGACGCTGGACTGCGTTTTAACGTGGGAGTCAATGTCGGGTTTCACGGAGCAACACGATGCAGCACATTGAAGAGCCTTAATTTATTGACGCCGTCATACACACTTAGTTCTCAGGCTGAAAGGCGGAGGAAAAAGCATCCAAGGAAAAAGCTCTTGTACTGCGACGGGCCTGGTCTGGGGCACTCTCATACGATTAATTCTTATCATCGGTTTGAAACCGTTCTCTCCGGTCGCGGACCTGCACTTCGGGTAACTGTCGCATTGTTTCTGAGGTCTCATCAGCCAGCGGCAGCTTGAATTTTCCTTCCCTCTCTGCTGCAGTCATTTCTGTTGTAGCTACGGATCATCTCATCGAAATGGTGATTTTGGCCACTGTTAAAATCTTGGTCAGAAGTCGTTCTGGAGGATAGTTGACATGCCGAGTCCTTCTTGTCTCTGGTTCTCAGAAAAAATACCGCAATATATTCCTCTCGCTGATCCCACCTTCCATCGGTCTCAAAGGGTAAATCTGCTTATTTGAGCTAGCCTCTTCTACCATCTTCAGTGCGTTGGACAACGCTACACTACGCTTCATTCAGTTCAGAAAAAACGTTTTAATTGGGTAGTGTGTGGAGGAGGAGCAAATGCAGGTGGCGCCATGCTCCTAGAGCTTTGAATCCGGCGTATTTACTATCCCGAGGCGCTTCTGCATTTAAGCTACTGGAATGTAGTCTATGGCACCAGGGTCCTCCATTCTTTGGAAAGCCTCAGTAATACTGGCTAGCAGCCGTAATTTCTCATAACATAGAACTTTGGGCCAACGTTTTTTAGTAAAATTACCGTATGTGGACATAGTTGCGAGATGGAAACATGCCAATTCATTTCCGTACTTTCCAAATTATTTTCATTACCTTTCTGTTCCTTCATTCCCTCAAGAGGTTTATTTCTATCCGAAGAAAGCCTCGGTAGATGCCAAACAATTTGTCGGTCGAACAATGATACGATCTTCGTTGGAGCAAAAATCAGTTACGAGAAATTAAACGACTTTTCTTCCCCAATGAGCATCAAGAAGCAAGGCTGGAATTCGGCCTTCCAGAATCCATTTAGTGGCGATTTATCCCTCCCCGGGTTTCTCACATCGGAGGCTTATGGAAAGCTGCTCGGCTCAAATATATTAAAGGCCGATGAGTCCCACGCTCTCGTTTATTACATTGCTGCGGTTATTACAGGGTGACAATAAATAACCCGGACAAACATTTTTGATCATAACTTTTTAAGGAACTGTATTTGAGAAAAAATGCAGATAGAAAACTATTAAATAGGTATTGTGTTAACATACATTCAGCTGGTTTCGTAGTGACTTCCTTGGGATGCGATGTAGAGCCCTAAACGTTTCTGGAAATTTAGCCCAATGGGCCGCAGGTCTTCTTCCGATAGTCGATCCCATTCTCGGAGCAATGATTGCTTCAGCGCCTCCAAACTTATGTGGCGTTAAGCACATGCCCTGGACTCTAAAATAGACCACACACTATAGTCCATCGGATTAAGATCTGGCGAGTAAGGTGACCATTCACTGGATGTGATTAAGTCCGGGAAATTGGCTTTGCACCAGTCCTGAGTCAATTTGGCTATATGGGCTGACGCTGAATCCTGTTGAAACGTTCACTCCGTATCACCGAAGTGCTGCTGGGCCCAAGGAAGCACAACAGTTTCCAAAATGTCGCGGCGGTACACTTCCTGATTGATTTTGACCCCTTGATCGATGAAAACAAGGGGTGTTTTGCCAGTGGCGCATATTCCTCCCCAAACCATTAAAGACTGCTCAAATTGACGGCGCTCGATTATTGCAGAGGTACCTGGAGCTTTAGCAGACCAGCTTCTGTCATTTTGGTGATTGTGCGCGTGTTGGATGGTGAATATCTTCTCGTCCGTGAAAAGAATACACTCCCATTTTTGACCTGCGGCCCGACGCTTTAGCTGATGGCATCTTTGAAGTCTTACGCGCTTATTGTCATCCGTAAGAAGATGCATTTTTTAGAGCTTGTAGGGCTTGAGATTAAGTTCATTTTTTGCTATCAACCGAACACTTTCTCGATTCACTCCGATTTCACGGGCTATTTTCTTGACCGAGACTCTGCAATTCCGAGTGATCCGCTTTTTCACTATCTGGCGAATTCTGGAAGTGTTAGCGGTACATGGTCTGCCTCGTCCGGGACGGTCACCTTCATGGCCAAGCTCATTAAATCGCCGGATAGCGTCAGAGACCGTTTGTTTTGGTATGCCAAGCAAACGAACAATGTCGCATTGGCGATTTCCTTGTTGAAACAGTTTTAAAATTGCACAACGATTGTTAGACATTCCGAAACAAATATCAAATTGATGGGAATCACAAAAATGTAAATACATTTGTTTCAAAAAAGTACAAGATATTGATAAATGCATTTATTTAAGGGCTGTATCATAGCACATTTATAATAGATTGCTTCAAAGTTTGTCCGGGTTATTTACTTATTGTCACCCTGAAATTCTAGGCCGCTCGTCGCTACCTCGGATTTTTTGGTCGTCTTTCAGATTTAGAGAGCCAGTCATTACACGGCTAAATAGTAACCGACACACTTTTCTTGTGTTAATTTCTTTGTGCAAAAAAAAATGTGTATACTTTTGCAAAGGGTATTAAAATTCTGGTCAACAATGTGCAACGCAGTGAAGGAGACATCTCCGACCCTATAAAGTATATATATTCTTGATCAGGATCACCTCCTGAGTTGATATAAGCATGTCCGTCTGTCCGTCTGTCTGTCTGTTTCTACGCGAACTAGTCTAAAGTTAACTAGTTAAAGCTATCGTCTTGAAACTTTGCACACACCTTTGCACCTTTTTTTCCTTTGCACGCAGTATATAAGTCGGAACGACCGGAATCGGCCGACTATATCCTATAGCTGCCATATAACTGATTGATCGGAAATGGTCTGTTTTTAGAGTTAGAGAGTTCACATTTTACATGAGCGCTATTTATACGATAAAATAATACGACATGCCAAATTTCATAAGGATCGGTTTACTATATCCTATAGCTGCCATATAACTGAGCGATCGGAAATGGTTTTTGGTAGATATATTAACTTTGGTATTTTTGAAAAAGAAGTTTAGGACTTCTTTTTTAGATTTTGAATTATAATAAATTGGTTTATATTATCATAATCTCACAAGGATCGGCCAACTATATCCGATGTTTGCGATAAATCCGGTTTTAACTGCAAGGGTATATCAACTTCGGCTACGCCCGAAGTTAGCTTTCCTTTCTTGTTAGATATTTTATTGTAATTAATTGGTTTTGTTATGATATTCTCATAAGGATCGGCAAACTATATCCGATGTTTGCGATATATATCCGGTTTTAACTGCAAGGGTATATCAACTTCGGCTCCGCCCGAAGTTAGCTTTTCTTTCTTGTTGAAAATACCTTTAACTTTTGTAAATTAAGGATTTAGTCAATATTAAACAAATTTTCCAAGTTAAAGAGTTAATGTTTCACATTTAAGTGTGTCCGTAAGCAACAAAGAACAAAGACAACATGAAAGTCACATAAGCGAAAACAATTGGTTTGTTATTTTGCTTTTCGTAATTCAAAAAATAAAAAATAAATAGTGCCTTTTCGTAATAGTAAAAAAGCTAAAATAGCATCTGTTCTTAAACAAATAAAAAATACCTATATTTTATAAAACCTATACCTATAAAAACTCCTCCCAAAATTTCTGAAATTATTTTTGTCAATCAATAAATATATTTTTTTCTAAAGCTTCGGCCCTTTAAAGAGGCGAAATAAGAGCAAATGAGATATCGTCTGTATACATATCTTACATTGTCTGTATACCAGCAGCGCTACAACAGAATTTTTGACCTATGCACGCGTGCTATGGAACATTAGAGTTTTTCAACCACTGTTTTAAAACCTTCATAATTTTACGCCAGCGGATTCTTAGATTCGCTCAGTGCATCACTTTGAATCGTTTACCAATACACTCTAACTTTTTTTTGGCTTTTTTCGTTCACACATATGCTTTTACTAAAGGCAGATAGCAATATAGTAAAATTAGTTTGCCAGTCGTCCAATCAAAAAAAAATATGCTCATCATTCTCTGCCATTCAGTAATAAGTAAACCAATACCAAAAGTACCAAAACTAAACCAAAACAGCGTGGGGCTGTTATCTCGTACGGCCCTGGTATAAAGACATAAAACTTGGTTCTGTTAAAACAAGACATGGTTGCACGATTAGGGTATATTATTAGGTGTCTAATCAAACACTATATTTATATTGCATAAAAATGTGCTTAGACTTACCGATCTCTCGTATGGATGACAATTGTTGCCAACAGGTAATTAAACTGCACGATCCGGAAACTCCGTGACATTTGCAGGTTATACGAGTTTTCTTAATTACAGCCTAAAAGAATATTATTATTATTGAAACAAATTCTGATTTTAATATCAAATGGAGTTTATTTTAAATAGGACCGTCGAATTATTCTCATAGGTTCTTATTGATATTTGATTTGGTATTCTCCAAATACGACAATAAAGTAAACTAAGTTATCGATTTTTTGGTCTGCTGAATAAAATCTTTCCAAAAGTTATAATACTATATTCCCAGCTATTTATGTATTTTAACCATCCAATTTTTTAACGGCACATAATACGTTGATTAAGCAACGAGTTTAAGCAAGTTTCAGCAACGAATAACAGAAAGTGTTCTACGAGGCGCTTCGTTTAGGCGCAATTCATACTAACCTGGACTAGGCTGTCAACTAGACTGGTACATATCGTTTTGGGCGGGCACGGGTGGTTCGGGACTTGTAATTCATTTTTTCTCGGTTCGCTTCAATACACATCCTCTAGGTAAGAAGCCTATCTAGGTGTACACCAAGATGTGTGAGTTTGTTTTTAAATGTAGTTAAGTGATAATTGTGAACAATTATTTTTTTCGAAACTCCAATGGCCCACCCTGTGTACTGAGTATTTTGGAAGTACTCCCAATCCCATAGAACTATAAAAGGCTGAAGCTGTGGTCCTCTTACTTGATCTGGATCACCCACCCACGTTTTCATATAGTCTAAACAAAATTCTGGCCTTAATGCAGAAACATTAAAATCCCTTTTAAGCTCAATAATAAACATACTGAATAACATAATAAAGCTGAATGTATTTTTTCGGTTTGATTTATTCTTCAGGCATTCTTATACAAGAGGCCTCCAAATACCTTATTTCATACTTAGATTAAGCTATCAGTAGTTCGTAGGTTCAGTTTTTGAAACAACGTAAAATAGAGGTTTACATAAATATGTAGTTAAAAAAGACATTCAAATGAGAAACGTTGAAAATAAACAGCATTGACACAACAATTAGAAAAAGGGAGTTGAGTTCGGTTATCTTCCTAAACGTCTCTCCAATGCATTATCAGCGAGAAATGAAAAAAATCTCGCAAAATTTGTTTCTGTATTTTTCTACGCGAACATGTCTCTCAGTTTAGAAGCTATCGACTTGAAATTCACATTTTAAAATTTCCCAGTTAAGGATGTTAGGAAAGCATCAACACCCGAGACGACACAGCTATGTCCATCTGTTCGTATAAACGAGTCGATCTCAGAAACTGAAAGAGATAGAGCTGTAGACTTTGGCATAGAGACTCCTATAATGCCCACGAAGTTCAAATTTTCGCCTTTTTGCAAAAATTGCATATTTCTGTAGCTCCAGTACAGGAAGGTATATTAAAAAAGTTTTAATGTCAAACTATTTCTGTAGCTAATTTATATCTGAAAAACAAAATTCAACCAAATCGCCGGGTTTTTGAAGGAGTTATTTTGGCGTCTTTTATTGTTTCTATCAAAAATGATTAGTAATAGCTAAGTACTACGACCTCAAAGATCTTTTCTGAACCACAATTAATCTTCATCAGCTGCATCCCCGGGAAATGTAAATTAATAAAACTAAAACATTTCAAATGCCCAAGAAAAAAAATTTATATTTTATTTCTTTGACTGTCTTTTACTTTTGAAACTTTTGAAATAACCTAAATTTCAATAAGTCGGGAATAAGCCGTTTTGAAGGGATCTGACTAACTGCTCAAGTTGGTTAAAATACAAAACATTGTTAAAGAGAAACGCATTGCGATTAGAACCATTGCTCGCAGAGCAATGACATTTGCGATAGTTGCTCAGTAAGGACAAGAATTCAGAGAGGGTTAAGCAGCAATACACACGCGCGAGTGCATCCTGGAAAATTATTCGTAGGTCGTAGTACTTGAAAATATGACATGGAGTAAATAGCCATCAGCCTTATCACATTCATCTGCCGGGCGGATCATTCGTAACTGAGTTTTGAACGCCAAAGAAGTACAAAGCGACATTGGCGAATGAACATCTACGTTAATAAGAGCGGATGAGGAAGGATTATGCAACCATATCCTATACATATCCCATATTTATGGAAAACTTTTTAAAGAAAAAAGCGACCATCCAAGCGAGAGAACTCTCTTACGTAGATTTTCTAACTTTTCTTCCCCAAAATCTTTAACAATTTTCTTTACACACCCGAAAATATTCTCGAGATTTAAACCGGAAGATTTGTGGTAGCGGCTCTCATTCGGAACTAAACGTGGGCTAAAAGTGTTCAGCGGTAGCACGGAAAGAATAAACAAATGTAGTAAAACCAAATACTTACTCGTCGACCAGCTTCATTATTGTGTAAATTCATGAGGCTTTTTGCTTTTGCAGTAGACTGTTGACTACGAGAAATAGTTTCAATTTCATAATTGACTTTGGCTTTAAAGCCAGTATTTGGGACAAATTTGCCAATGTCGTGTACAGCTCGTTGATTTTTTCGTTTTCCTTTTTGTCGCTGCGTAGTACTACTATGTCCATTAACAAACTTCAAATTTACAATTTTATTATTCATTTGGTCCTGTTGAAATAGGATAAAAATAAATAAATGTAACTTAATAAAATGAATAATAGTGTAAAGTGTATGCTTTAGTTTTAGTTTCGTTTTTTATGCAAAATTAATATTTCCATGCCCTTGGGTTGAACCAGGCCCACATTGCACAGATCGAAAAAATCGATGTTTTGTAGTCCACGCATAATTTTGTCTGCTTTATAAGCTTAACGCTTTCCCTGAACAAACATAGGTGATATAACCCACAGTTTTAGCAGACCCTAAAAATGTTTCGAATGGAAAAATACATCTTTTTTATACCCGGTAATCGTAGAGTATACGGGTATTTTGTAGTCTTGTGAATGTATGTAACATAGAGATGGAATCATCTCCGACCCCATAAAGTACATATACTCTTGATCAGCTCCAACAGCCTTGTCGATATAGCCGTGCCCGTCTGTCCGTCCGTCCGTATGAACGCGTGGATCTCAAAGACTATAAGATATAGTGCTATAGGATTTAGCATGGGTTTGGTAATGGATATTAAAAGGCTATCCTCCTCCTAACCTCCTCCTCCTCCTCACGTCTAAAAACTGCCGTTGAAACCGGATATATATCGTACAAATCGTACGGTATATATCGTATCGTATCGTACGGATATAGTTGCCGATCCTTTTGAGAATATCATAATATAACCAGTTTATTACAATACAAAAAAAGTCTTAAGCTTCTATCTTCAAAAATACAAAAGTTGGTATTTTTACCAAATACCATTTCCAATCGTTCAGGTAAAAAATTTAAAAAAAAAAACAAGAAAGGAGACTATAGTCGAGTTGTCGACTATATTATATCCGGTATTCATCTCTTCCACCGACAATTTATCGCAGAATTTTCACACAAATTTATTTAATTTCAGCAGAGAAATAGACTAAAACAGTCGTCCTCTAAAAACTCCTCAAAAAAATTATCCAATTTGGCATATTTTGGATATTTTTATACAAATAAATACCACACCATACGGATACCATACTAGTTCAAGTTACAAAACGTATAGCTCTATCTTATAGCCTTTAAGATCCACTCGTTTAAAATTTTAGCCCGTTTGTATGGGAAATAATATACATATATATGGGTATAATTCTTCTAAAAATCGGGAGATTCGGGTGAAATTTTTTTTTATAAAAAAATAAATGAACTATAGAAATAGTTTGGCAACAAGCCTTCCAGTACTGGCGCTCCAGAATTTTCCGATTTGTGGGGCGGGAGGCAGCGTGGTAAAATTTTGAAGCAAACTTCAATTGAACTACGTGGACATTGTAGGAGTCTCTATTTCACACATTACATATGTATGTCAAAAGGTCTCCAAATCCTATAGCTTTATCTATTATAGTCTCTGATATCCATGCGTTCATACAGACAGACTGACGGACGAAAAGACGTCTTGGTCTTGGTCTTGGCTATATCGACTCGGGTGTTGATGCTGATCAAGAATATATATACTTTATGGGGTCGAAGATGATTCATTTTCTATTTTACATACATTCTTGCTTAATTCCTATAGCCTAAACCAATATAATATAAAATACCGCACTCAAAATTTGTTTTGGTTCACTGGATGTATTTAATGTCAGAACAAGAAAGGAAAGCTAACTTTGGGCGGAGCCAAAGTTGACATACACTTGCAGTTAAAAGCGAATTTATAGCAAATATCGAATATATTTATTCGATCCTTATGTGAATTGTAGTAAAAACCACTTTAAAGAATACATAATTTAAAACAAGAAAGCAAAGCTAACTTCGGGCGGAGCCGAAGTTGATATACCCTTGCAGTTAAAACCGGAATATAGAATAGAATCTGTACCAATTTCCAGCTTCCTATCTTTAAAAACACGAAAGTTGGGTCATTTCCGATCGTTCAGTTATATGGCAGCTATAAGATATAGTCGGCCGATCCTTATGAAATTTGGCATGTTTTGCCAAAAATAGCACTCATGTCAAATTTGAACTCTGTAACTCTAAAAACACCAAAGTTATACCATTTCCGATCAATCAGTTATATGGCAGCTATAGGATATAGTCGGCCGATCCCGGTCGTTCTGACTTATATACTGCGTGCAAAGGAAAGAAGGGTGTGTGCAAAGTTTCAAGACGATAGCTTTAAAACTGAGAGACTAGTTCGCGTAGAAACAGACAGACAGACAGACGGACAGACGGACAGACGGACATGCTCATATCAACTCAGGAGGTGATCCTGATCAAGAATATATATACTTTATAGGGTCGGAGATGTCTCCTTCACTGCGTTGCACACTTTTGGACAAAACTATAATACCCTCTGCAAGGGTATAAAAAGGGTCCAAGCTTTTATCTTGAAAATACCAAAGTTGGTATTTTGTAATACCATTTCTGACCGTTTAGTTATATGGCAGCTAAGGCATATAGACGGCCGATCCTTATGACATTTTGTAGGTATGATCAATTGACCAAAAATAGAATCCATGGAAAATCCCAACTCTCTTACTCTAAAACAGTGGTGGGCACATATGATTAACATTTGACAACAAAAACAATAAGAGCACGGCATTTACTGAAAAAAAACTTTTGTTTTTTATTTTGTTTATCGTTAATTCCAAAGTTTGAATAATGCCTTTTCATATTAAAGAAAGCTTTTTTAGCTGAATTTATTAAACAAATGAAAAACTAAGCTTGCCTATCTATATTTTCTGTAGAGAAAACTTGCACCAACAAAATTTCTGAGAAAATTTTACTCAGTGACAACATTTTGTTTAGGTTGGGCCTGAGCTTTTAAAAAAAATGAGAATGCTCACACTGTCAGCGCTGCGGGAGAATTTCCGACCCTATGCCCTATGAAGAATTTATGTTATTAAAAATGTGAAGTCTATCTGCTGATATTTTCTGATTTGTGTATATTATTTAATAATCTGAAGCTTTTTTATTGTTTTCAAGGTCTGTTCTTTGTTTGTTTTTGTGATGTTTCTTTTGTGTTCGTATTTTTTGTTGTCATAAATAAGCTGAATATTGTACGTACTGTATACTGCGCCCGGTGTAAGTAGCTTGTGGAGAGCAGTATTATTCAGCACACTGCCCAGTGAGATGACCGCATCTCGAAAAAATACGGAAACTGCGGTGCCAATCATACTGCTAACTATAATGGTTGCGCAGTTTATATAGAGCTGAAAAGTCGTATCCACCAAAGAGGAATTACTGCCCGCATCCAAATTAAACAGTTGAAAGCTTCCGGGTCAAACGCTGAAATCTTCTTCTCGACTGCAGCCAGATCCTCACTAGGACCCAAAAACTGTCAAAAAAAAAATGTTAAGTGCTTTACAATCAGGCAATTCCACCCCTGCCTCAAATAGTTTATTTCTGCCATCATCATACAAGGAACCGAACACGGCTCAGCGGAGCAGTCAAAAATATACTTTGAAGCTATGATATATGAAATGAAATTTTCACAGAAAATTTTAGTTAGCTCAATTTCTACTCGACAATCATATCGACGTAAAGCTGCTTTGAGAAACATAGTTTAACATACCTTACAAACAAATAAAATTTTCAACTACGACGATATTTATTCTACGAAACAAATCATTCAGAAGGTAAAGCATATGGTGGGACTGGAATCCTAATCAGAAGCAGTATTAATAATATAAAATAATTTTCTAAAAACTACCTACAGGCCACATCTATAAAGATATACAACTAAATACTGGGAACCAACTTACACTAGCCGCCGTATACTGAGTTTATGCAGTTTTTCAACTCACTAGGAGATTTCACAGCAACAGGAGACTACAATGCCAAGCAAACACACAGGGTATCTCGCCTCGTGACTCAAAAAGAAAAGCAGCTCCATAATGCAATTATCAAAACCCAGAACAAGCTTGAATATGTTTCAAACGTTTCAAAATTAAATACATTCGGACTGTTTATTTACCGTCATTGAAAAATATCAATGACCCCGACGTGATAGTCAGTATATTTACAATTTACTAAAGTCAAACTAGACCTGCGAAACCATATGTGGTGTACAACAAACATTTCATAAACAGTGTTTTCCTACGCGGCAATCAGTGGCTAATAAGCAAACAGTTTGTTTATAATAATAAATAAATTATAATATATAATATATTATACATAAAGACAAGCAGTTCGTAAGTGCATATACATACTTGCGTTCCACAACGCAAGTTCATTCGCCCGCGCATAGACTTTAAACATACATACGTTCCGCAACGCAAGTGCATTCCCCCGCACATAATTTCATATGTATATACGTTCCACAATTCCGCTAAGGTTCTGAGCGCACAGTGGGATAGAATGTGTTCGCCGCGAGCAAATAAATTTTGAACGATAAAATTTTGGCGCCGGAATTGATTACATCGGCTTGGTCGGACTATAATATAAGGAGCTTTTCAGCCTGTTACAAGGTGGATGCCATGCTCCACGTGCGACAGGCCAGATAGTCGCCATGTTCAGTGAATTCAAGGCTCGTAGCGACGATGCATGCCAAAATCGAGCACGACCCTTCGGTCTTCTCGAATTGCTGCCCACTCTACACTGGACAAAGGAATGTCCACCTTGTAGGTTGACCCGGAATTAAGTCAAAGTTTTCAAGCGTTGCCTCTCCCTATCTTTAGCGGTGCGTACTCGGAAATGGCCTGAGGTCTACTCGATTTTCCCTACAATCGTCGGCAGCAATCCTTGAATTAGTAAAGTTGAAAAGCTGCTAAGGTTGCAATCTTGCCTTCGGGAGTCCGCTTTCGAAGCAGTTCGTTCTTTGGAAGTCTCCGACGAGAACTATGAGGTCGCGCTAAATTTATTGGTGAAACGATTTAATAACCGTCGCTTAATATTTCAGTCGCATGTGAACGAGATTCTGGGCCTCAGTCTCTTGGAAAGTGGCTCAATAGCAGCTCTTCGAGGTCTTTCGGACAAATTAAATGCCCTTATGCGAGCCTTAAATAATTATGGTTCGTCAAATCAGATTGCCAGCTGCATCATCGTCCAGGCTTTTTTTTCAAAGGTTGGATCCAGCTACCAGCAAGTTCAGACGCCATCCCTCCTTGGGAGTCGATTGCCGAATTTTAGGAGCAGCGATGTAGGACGCTGGAGGCTATGGATGTGGCCATGGCTGAAAGTAAAAGTATATCATCTTTTATTGTTACTAATTCGCTTCCCTCTGCCTGTACTTTATGCGGTGGATGGTCCCATGTAATGTCTGCATGCCCCCGATTTCTCTCAATGCCCCCAATGCCACCGCGAACATTCTTGTTCATAGTGGCCTGCCTCGAAGCGCCCTAATCCTGGTTCATCCGACGCGTCCGGATAGATGGCGCCAACGCCAAGGTAAGAGACGGGAGATCTCACTCTCTTTGCAGCTCTTCCTGCTTCCGTGAGATATTTTCTCCGGAAAAAACGCGAGCGTGGCCACCCACCAAAAAGCACAATGCACTATTGCAGCCCTTCTGATTATTAATGCAGCCCTGACAGTGTGGGGCAACGAAGACGGAGGGGTGGTAGACGGCGCTACCAAAAAGCGCGCAAAGGTAACCATGGGATCAAGGACGCGACTGCATAACACCTAAGGACAACGGCTCAGGAGTTGGGACCCACTAAAATGAGTAATATAACATAAATGAATTCAGTTGGAGAGGCGGCTTTCGCGAAAAGCTGCAAAATTTCAAGATCACCCAGCAGCAAGCTGGATGGTACCCCTTCTATTTCAGGGATCCGAGTGGACCAGAACAGGAGTAAAAATCAGAAGGCCGGAGACGCAACAACACTGCAGGAACTCGGGAAGGAGATCGCGCTGCTAGTGGAGATGCTGGAAGACGGCAAAAGGAGGTCCATCCACCAGCCAATGAGGGACACCATAGTGAGCATCCGAGCTCTTTACGAGCGACTGGCCGCTCAGACGGACGAGCAGGGACGTAAGGAAGCGCCTAAATCCCACCAGGCGTCACAAACATCGCCCCTTTTTCGACCGGTAGCGGAACCCAGGAGGAAGGGAACAGTCCCAGACCCCCCTAACAACAAGAGGAGCAAGAGGGAGACTTCGCTGGCGGCGACTCGAACGAGGGCGGAAGCCAGGGCATTAGGCCAGACCGTGGAACCTGAAACTCAGGCGAGCAGGGATGCCCAAGAATGGAAGCTGGTTGGCCCCAAAAAGAAACTGCCGAAAAGCAGCGGGCAACTAGCTCAATGCCCAAGGAGAAGCCAAGGCCGGACGCACTGGTCATCACGGCTAAGGGCGAATCTAGTTACGCCGATATTCTGCGACGGGTGAAGCAGGACAAGAAGCTGCAAGGACTAGGCGAAGCCGTATCGAGGATTAGGAGGACCCAGAAAGGAGAGATATTGCTCCAACTGAAGAAGTATGGCAAAAGACTGCGCGGAAGAACCTAAGAGTGCGTTCTGCAGCAACGCCGGGAAGGAAGCAGGACACATAGCAGGAAGTGGGAAATGTCCGATGTTTAGGACGCCCCCTCACAAAGGAAAAGCTGATGAAGTGCACCCAGCTCAACCTCAACCATTGCGAGGCGGCTCAGTCGCTGCAGTCGCTGCGAGCAGACACAGGTAGTCCTCATCTCGGAACCATATAGGAGCATCCCAGGAAACGGATGGCTGGCAAGCAGCTGCAAGGGAGCGGCTCTGTGGTCAACGGAGACGGCTCCCCAGGACATAAGGACATCCAGCGAACGTTTTGTCCGGGCCAAAATAAAGGGGGTTACATTTTACAGCTGCTACGCCCCGCCAAGATGGAAAATTTCGCGCTACCAAAAGATGCTACGAAGCTTGGTTGCGGATGCAAGAGGCAGATCGCCGGTGGTCATTGGAGGGGACTTCAACGCCTGGTCGGTTGAAGTCTGGTATTGCGGTGGCGGTGTCTGGTATTGGAGTCTCTCGGGTTTGCGAGAGAGGGATTCTCTATTAATGTTCTTCTGCGGTCCTACTGCTCCAAATACTCTGTCTTGGTTAACGCGGTCATCACCGCCAATATCACGGACCTGCAGCATAGCTTTAGTTTGGATGTCTCAAGTTGAAATATTCCGGGAAATCTTTCTTTATCTGATCCTGTATTTTTTCGTCCATAGCGTATCGATCTTTTTATCGGAGCCAGCCTTTTTTATGAGCTGCTGTATGTTGAGCAAATTCCGCTCTCACCTAGCCTGCCATTGCTGCAGAAAACACGACTTGTCACATGTCCAGAGAAGGTCACTCGTTTCCACTGCCCACTTTTGTGTTTTAAAGGAGGAAAGTTCAACAAGCAAGCTCAGGGTTGTTTTTGATGGATCTGCAGTCACAACTTCTGGATATTCATTGAATGACGTGTTATCAAAGTTGCTGCATTTTCTGTTAAGGTTCCGATGCCATCAGGTGGCTATTACTGAAGTTTTTTTGCAAAACGTATCGTTGCGTCACGGTTTTTTCTGAGGGCATGTGAACGTGTCATATCCGGCTTTAGAACCATATCCGAGGAAGCCCCTCTTGTTCTAGCCGGCATTATTCCAATCGATATATTGGCAAATGAAGCGGAGGAAATCTACGCATCCAATCTACGAAGGAATTCATCCCAAGAGGCCATCAGGAGGTCAGCCCGACAAGCGGCATTATCCTCATGGCAGGAGAGGTGGGATTCAACGACCAAAGGAAGATGGACGCACAGTCTAATCCCAAACATCCAGGAGTGGATCGGAAGAAACAACGGTCAGGTTAGTTACCAGCTTACCCAGTTTCTAACAGGTCACGGAGGGTACAGAAAATACCTCCATAGATTCGGACACGACGAAAGTCCAGTGTGCCCCAACTGCTCAGGAGCAGGTAGGAGATATCGTACCGTCGTCGGATCGCTACCAGATCCGGAGCAGCTTGTGGAATACATGTGTAGCTCACAGGAGCAATGGGACTGGGTAAGCCAGTTGATAGCTTATACACAGGGCGACTTAAGAATTCAAGTCTTCTTAAGTGAACGTCGCTTAAGGGAGAATGCCTAGATTAGGCAATCCTTTCCCGGGAAGTAATACTTTGCGGTGGTACCGCGGGGTCTGTGGTGTGTGCGGGGGTGTCTTTAGTACGTAGGCGCCGGCTAGACGTGCCGGTGAATCGTGCATGCTATTGGTACGGGCCAATAGTATCTAGGATAGATTTTAGCCTCAATGGCGCAATACAAAAACAACAAAAAAAAAAAAAAAAATAGTCGCAGCATTCCTTGTTCCAGGCCGAGTTCTGTTGGATTCTGGACCGCAGGTGCACTTGATCATTTCCCAAGTGGCTAGTCAGCTGCAGCTCCGGAGCAAATCGTTCATGGCGGTGTCTGGTATTGGAGTCTCTCGGGTTTGCGAGAGAGGGATTCTCTATTAATGTTCTTCTGGGGTCCTACTGCTCCAAATACTCTGTCCTGGTTAACGCGGTCATCACCGCCAATTTCACGAACCTGCAGCATAGCTTCAGTTTGGATGTAGCAGCATAGCTTCACCCAAGATGAGTTGCAAGTTTTTATACCCTTGCAGAGGGTATTATAATTTTGTCCAAAAGTGTGCAACGCTGTGAAGCAGTTCTCCGACCCTATAAAGTATATATATATTCTTGATCAGGATCACCTCCTGAGTTGAAATGAGCATAACCGTCTGTCTGTCTGTTTTTACGCAAACCAGTCTCTCAGTTTTAAAGCTATCGACTTGAAAATTTGCACACACCCTTCATTTCTTTGCATGCAGTAAATACGTCGGAACGGACGTGATCGGCCGACTACATCCTGTAGCTGCCATATAACTGATTGATCGGAAATGATATAAATTTGGTGCTTTTAGAGCTGGAGAGTAAAATTTTACACAAGAGCTATTTTTGGCAAATGCCAAATTTCCAATTTGACATGCCAAATTTCATAACGATCGGTTGACTATATCTTATAGCTGCCATATAACTGAACGATCGGAAAAAACCTTACTTTTGTGATTTTAAAGATGGAAAGCTGGAACTTTTTTCAGATTCTACTTTTGGTCAGTTAATCCGACATACCAAATTTCATAACGATCGGTTGACTATATCTTAAAGCTGCCAGATAACTGAACGATCGGAAATGGTTTTTGGGAGAAATACCAACTTTGGTATTTTTGAAGATAGAAGCTTGGGACTTTTTTGTTGATATTTTATTGTAATTAATTGGTTTTGTTATGATATTCTCATAAGGATCGGCCAACTATATCCGATGTTTGCGATATATAATCTGGTTTTAACTGCAAGGGTATATCAACTTCGGCTCCGCCCGAAGTAATCTTTCCTTTATTGTTTTTTAAATAATTTTTATTTTTTTTTTGCCTATTAAAATGTTTTTTTTTTTTTGGTTTAGACTTTTAATAAGTGCGCAGTACGAGCTAAAAATTTTCCCAAACAGAAGTGCACTGGTTTAATCGTATTTTTTGTGTAATGGAAAGTTTTTGTATGTCAATAGAAACCAATTTTGTGTATGTCAATAGAAACCAATTTTATAATTGATAATATATCAATTAATCTTATCTTACCTGTAATTCTAGCAGTTCCTCTCCTTTTATATTTGATTTAGGAATTTTTTTAGAAATACGCTGCTGAAGCTCTAACAAATACGTTTTTGAACTGTCGTCAGAATTACCACCAGTTTGTACTTCCGTAACATTCGGTTTTTTGTTTTCATTGGCGATATACATTTGTGCAACATTCGGTTTTAATAGCGACATTTTATTATCGACCCTACTTGAAAATTCAGTGGAATTTTTCTGTGATGTTTGGAAGTTTTTGAGTGTTTTTTCTGAAGTTAAAGATCCAATTGTTGTTTCTCGTATTTGTTTGCGAGTAACAGGCTGCGCATCTCTGTTAGCTTCCTTTTCCCGAACATCAATAAAATCAGTGGCAAACCTATTATGGAATATGTAGAAATTTAGTTTATTATAATTTATGAAGGGGATGTTTAAAATTGGCTTTACTTGAAATTTTTAAGGGCCTGAATGGTAAATGAACAGGCCCTTAGAGCTAAAAGCACTGTAGAGTTAAAAAATTTAGAGTATATAGGAATTTTAAAAAGGAATGTTTATATTTATGAATGTGAAGGTGGGGGGTTTCTAAATTGAAAAGTCAAAAAAATCTATTTTTTTTGTTTCATTGATAAATGTTTCAATTTAACTCTCCCAAAACTTTGAGTCGAAATGTCAAAAATTTTGAAGCGTGTGTCAAATTGGTTCAACGTGTTCAAATTTTCAAAGGCGTTTTTTTGAAACCATGTTTCTCGAGTTGGTGGAAGCTCTACACGACACAAAAGTTTGAATGCATTCTAGAATGTTCGATACAACTATGCATATTTGCCTGTATTTTTAGACGCTGATAATAAAATAATTAACAAGAAAGGAAAGATAACTTCGGGCGGAGCCGAAGTTGATATACCCTTGCATTTAAAATTGGATATACATATATCGCAAAAATCGGATATAGTTGGCCGATCCTTAAGATTACATCATAATAAAACCATAAAAAATTACAATACAAAATCTAAAAAAAAGTCCCAAGCTTCTATCTTCAAAAATACGAAAGTTGATATTTCTACCAAATACCATTTATTGGTATTTGGCATATATTTATTTCCAAAAGGAAAATGCCAAATAAAGATGAGAGCCTCTAAGCCTAAGAGTCTAAGCAAAAGAGTCACAAAATAAAAAAAGGGAAACATGCAGAGCCGAACTAAATTAAAATGAATTAAAATTAATAAATGTATAAATTTCCCTTCTAATATATCACAGAACACACATAGCGATACGGTTTTGGTAAAAAGTAAATTGAGTAAAAAGTTTCTTTAACTTGAATATAAAGTTGGTAAGCCCCGGCTTATACACAAATTTAAATTTAAAAAACCGGGTTCGCACAAAAAAATAAGACCGTTTGCTTTAGAAGACGGGAAGAACTGATGCCGTAAATTTTCTCTTTGCTCGACAGACGTGTATCAAATCTTTCATTTTTAGCTTAACAAATAGTCGTATTCATGATACAATTATAATTGTATCATGGTCGGATTGACTGATAGGAAGTTAGACGGCCCTAAAATTCGATTGCTTGGTTCGGAGCTGAAAACCCGAGTTAGTTAGAGCGAGGAAATTTGAGGGCGAAGACAGTTTTTCTTTGTAGGACACGTTTTGCTTGTGTATTTTGTCTTTCACTGTGAGGATACCCAGATCAAAGGTCCCCCAGTGATAGTTCTCAAGGGTTTTGATTTTGTCTATTTCTATGATTGTCTATGTTGTTACTGCTCTTGTTACCCCACAAACTGGCTTCAGGACTGCTGATCGTGAGTTTATATGTTTACGCCAGGTTAGTCGTCTATTGAGGTGGACGACAAAGTACGTTACTTCATTAGCTTAAGGTATCTGCATACCGTTTAGTCAAAGCGGTGGGCATGTTTGTCTATTAAAAATAAACGTTACAAATTTACTTTTTGTTTGTTAATTTTAATGCGCCAGTCGGACAGCCATCTTTCCAATAGTCTAAGATGATTAGCGAGTTTGTTGCTTGGGTTGGGTATCTTGAGCGACTATGGATAGCGGAATCGTCGGCCAACGTTAAAGTTAATAGTTGTTTGTTGGTAGGAATATCCGCAGTATACAATAAAGTCATACATAAAGACAAGGGCTAAGTTCGCTTCCTTGTGGAACTCCCGCTTTGACGATGTAGTTGCCCGAAGTTGCTGCGTTGCATCTCACTGAGAATACCCTATTTTAGAGGTACGACTCAAGTATCTTGTGGGTGTATGTTGGAAATGTTTTTTAATTTTGTGCAAGAGTCAATTAAGGATGTAGTCTCATGTTCCGGCCTACTTTTTAGAGGTTATTTCAAAAAAAATTTTTTGGAATAAAAAATAATGCGATTGTTTCAATTTTCAAATATGTGTTTATAGGCATTAGACTTCTGCATGAATGTATCCAAAATGACAAATGAATCATTTATTCTAAAAGCGGGCACACTTTTTTTTCAGCACAGTATATTTGGGTATGAATGAGTAGGGTAGTATTTTTTGTTTTATTTGACAGCTTTCACACTCATTCCATAGTTGTACAGCTATTAATGAGTACAGGTAAATTAGTGTGCCGTAGTCAACTCACTGTACAGTGTTTTGGTGTTCAGTTGACTTACTGTACAGTGAGAGAAACTTCATGACTGGAACATACACATAAATATTTCTCGTGTTTATGTAATGTCTGGTTAAAAAATTTATTTGTGTTTTCGTTTCAAATGTATTTATTATAAAATAGTGTATTTACAAATTATTAATATTAAAATGAATGCTTATTACAATAATTATTTTATGTTATTAAATTTTCTATATTTATACCCTTGCAGAGGGTATTATAATTTTGTCCAAAAGTGTGCAACGCAGTGAAGGAGACATCTCCGACCCTATAAAGTATATATATTCTTGATCAGGATCACCTCCTGAGTTGATATGAGCATGTCCGTCTGTCCGTCTGTCCGTCTGTCTGTCTGTTTCTACGCGAACTAGTCTCTCAGTTTTAAAGCTATCGTCTTGAAACTTTGCACACACCCTTCTTTCCTTTGCACGCAGTATATAAGTCGGAACGACCGGGATCGGCCGACTATATCCTATAGCTGCCATATAACTGATTGATCGGAAATGGTATAACTTTGGTGTTTTTAGAGTTAGAGAGTTCAAATTTTACATGAGTGCTATTTTTGGCAAAACATTACGACATGCCAAATTTCATAAGGATCGGCCGACTATATCTTATAGCTGCCATATAACTGAACGATCGGAAATGACCCAACTTTCGTTTTTTTGAAGATAGAAAGCTGAAATTTAATACAGATTCTATTTTGATCCATCCTACCAAATTTCATAAGGATCGGCCAACTATATCCGATGTTTGCGATATATATCCGGTTTTAGCTGCAAGGGTATATAAACTTCGGCTCCGCCCGAAGTTAGCTTTCCTTTCTTGTTAAATTATTAATGTTGTCGCCCGTACAAGCTCGCCCATCGCAAGCTCGTTGTAATGAATGACATTATTTTATTGATGTCTTGTCTTCAGATGTGGCAATTTTTGCCCGTTTTTCGCAAATTAAATTTTTGGCAACAGAAAATGCCCTTTCCGATGCTGCACTGCTCGCGGGAGCTGCTAGTATCTTGCAGCTTTGATAAAGCAGCGGAAAACGGTCTTTATTTATTGACCACCACTGCAGAACATCAAAATCTTCCCTATTCGCTTTATTAACATTTTTATAAGTTTGAAGCTCATCCTGCTTATCCGATAAAATATTGGTGCTTTGAATAGGTTCTGAATAGTCTGCAAATATGTTGTCTATGACTTACGCTATCTTGAGAGTTCATTGCATGAGCGTCGTTCTCCTTAAAATCCATATTTATGAATTTTTGAAAAAATATTTGTATACGTCAAATAGTTGTACACGTCAACAGACAAACTGTACAGTGTGTTGGAAAAGGCACAAATTTAGTACTCACTAACGACAAGTACAACGATATAGTGAACTCACTCGAAGTGAGTACACTGAAAATGTTGTGCTACTTTGTTCCGACCTATAGAGTACACTGTACAGTATAGAATGAGTGCAGTGTTTTTAAAACACTACACTACTGTACAGATCTGTTATGTCACAAATGAGTACATTCATGCAGAAGTCTAATGCTTACCCTCCATGCTTTTGTTTAATTTATTCTTGTGTAGTTTAATACACTTTATAGCATGCCAAAGTATGTATATAAAAAAAAAGGTAGGTCCCTGGCGCAGGTGATTTCGACTGATAGAGTCATCCGAAACAAAAAATTAGAATAGATTATTGTTTTGTAAGCTTATGGCTCTGTCCCGTACTAGAATGAAATAAAAATATTCATCAATAAACAACAAAATGGCGAACTCACAAAACAAAAAATTTAAATAAATAAATAGATTAAAAAAAATTTATCTGAAATTAATGATAAAAAAAAACTAATCATTAAAAATAAATGATTCTAGTACGGGACAGAGATGTTACTTTTAAGAACAACATATCCACATTTCAGCTAGATCGGTACCAAAGAATTTTGTGAATCACCTGCGCCGCACACAAAAAAATCGTTCCGAGAAAAACGCGTTTAAAGTTTAGACGCTACCGAGTAACTCATACTATTCGGTGTATGCACGCTCTCGATTATGGGCTGTATCTCTGTCATTATTTGATATTTTTATTTGAAACTTTAACAGTACATTCTTAATAAACAGTACTTTCAAAATATGTGAAAAAAAAAATCGGTTTTTTTCAACTTCACTACATACCTAAGCCAAACTCGTTCGAAAGGTTGAGACACGTCGAGAAAAATAGCGCAACATTATTCTGGATTTTCAGAGGCTGAGCGTATTTCTGATATTAATCTGTTCACTTGCTCGATAGTTCCTTTTTTTCTTCGGTTTAAAATTATGTACTTAGGAATCGCAAAAAAGTCCCGAAAAACGTTTTTTTAAATAAATGATTGTTAAAGATTAAATGATTGTTAATAAAGATTTTTAGGGTGTTTCACGGTTAAAATATTACAAACACGGCTTTTTGTTGCATTCGACCAGATAAACAATTCCTACAATGTCACTTTACAAGTTCAAAATCACTGTTGCACTGTGTAAATAGGTGCAGTTGGCAGAGGGTTAGCTTCTGACTGAATTAGTGGCGAAGTAATGAAGTAAAGGGAGGGTTTGGCTGGAAGACACTTATAAAGCGAATAACTTATAAAGTGCAATTATTTTGTTTTAACTTTTACAAAAAAAATAATGTGAAGAGATTAATCTCCCCACACGCCCAACGTATTATTCTCGGAAAATCAACGAATTAGAAATTCGGTGGAACATCCCCAGAAATTCTGTGAGTTA